TTCAATTTAATTATAGAAATTTTCATAAGTTTTAGTGAAAGGGTTTATTTCTTATCATAACATTGATAACAAAACTCCTTTCAATACTAAGAGTACTTAAAAAAGAAAATTACAAGCTTATTTGTGTCTTTTCCAATGCGACATAGTCAAAATTAGCAATTTTTTTCAATTTTCTCAAGCACTTGTCTGCATTTTGATTTATTGAAGTGCTTGAACAGTTATATACTTTAAAAAGTACTCTTATTTTATTCTAAAAACTTTAATTCATCTTGAAAATAAACTTTGGTGAGTCGCCAATAGTATATGATGAGATTAAATGACTTATTTAGGTTGTTTTTTTCATGTGTATTGGAGAATGTTCTTAAGCCTGGACTATTGTTGATGCAAGAACACTTACTTTTTGTAAGAATAACTTGAATTTTCATCTTATGACTTCTATCTGTTCATATCACAACATTTGAAAAGCGCCAGTAACATGGAGCAGTAGAAAATGGCTTATTTTCATGTTTTTATTGATCATACAGGTACGTCATTCTCTCTATAGGCTGATCAAATTGCAGACCCATTACAAAACTTAATGGAGTATTAGAAAACAACTTCAGGAAGGTAAATATTTTAAAATTGAAAATATTTTAAAAACTTTGAAGATCATCTTCAATTTTGGCCTGTGATAAATTATTTAAAAAGTATTGTTGCAAAGGTTTGGTGTGTCGTAAGAAACGTCAAAAAATATTAAAAACTTATTGCATTCTTTAAGAGTTTTTTTTTCATCGCCAAAAATGTAATATTTTCAGTAATAAATAAATTATGATAAAAAAATTTATTCTCGAATGAAATTGTGTGGTTCGTAATAATTTTCGACTTCTAAACATCAGCTAAATCTTCATTAGCTTGAATACTTATAATGAGAAGGAAGCACTTTGCCAATGGTATGCCAGTGATTGTATAAAATATAATAGAATGCGCATCATTTGCAAGGAATTAATAATGTCATCTGAAAACCAAAAGCGAGCGACCGAGTGAAGAGCGCTGTTTCTGAATACATGAACTCTCCAGTAAGTGAGGCATTTAAGCGCTGTGATGTGCTGTTGATCCTTTCTTATTTCTAAGAGTAAGCTCGCTAGCTTCTGCTACGGCAATACAAGTGTAGCACGCGCCGCGCGCTACTGCCCGACGCTCATGACAATTGCTGCGTCTCAGTAGCTTCGAGTAACGTTGCCTATGTCACGCGCGCTTGCTTCGCTCGCAGTGATCTTGGCCGTGCGAGTGCGGCGGTCGATTGTAAACAAACTCTGAGATCTCGCTCGCTCATAGCTCCGTGCATATGTATGATACAGATTTGGGAGTATAAATGCAATACGTCCTTTTACGTTAATGCAGGAACGTTCATAAATTTATAAAAAATTTATGAAATACGTACAGCTTTTAAAAAATTGTTGGATTACTTCGATGAAATGAAAATTGACTAACTAAGTCATTTGACAATTTCATAGTGTTCAGTAAGCAGGAGCTCTGTATTTGCTTATTTTATATGTCTGTTCGTGCCAAGCCGCACGAGCGAGTCAAAAAATGCTGAAACACTTGTGCGGCTGAATTGCCTTCCGAAGACTCTAGCGTTGCTTAGGCCGCTCGCACGTTTAGACTTGAGTGGCGGCCGTACGGCTGCGCGGCATTGTTGAGACTTATCGCTATATTTGTAACTCGCTGTAAAAGTACCTAAACGCACTTACAAAAATTTGCCACCCTACCATTCCTATAGAAAATTGTCATAGCTTTCCGATGAAAATGTTAAATTTTCCAAATTTTTCATTTTTTCCCGATGAAATCGCCGGAAATTTTTTAAAGTCAAAGTATATTTTCAAGATTTTTTTGAATAATGTGGATTGGAAAAAATGAAAAATTTAGAAAATTTTATATTTTCATAGGAAAGTTATGACAATTTTCTATCGGGATGGTTGGTTCGCTTTTTTTTCAAGTGCATTTTGGTACTTTTACGGTGAGTTACAAATATAGCGATAAGTCTCAATAAGGCCGCGCAGCCGTAGGGCCACCACCTAAGTCTTAACATGCAAGCTGCCTCAGCAACGCCGGAGTGTCCGGCGAGCATCGGCGGACGACGAGCAATTGAGCTACGCAAGTACTCCAGCATTTTATGACTCGCTCTCGCGTCTCGAGTATTCATGCGGCTGGCCTAAACAGATATATATTAAACTAGCAACTTTCAAAGGCGCTTCGCGCGCGTACATTTTTTAGTCAGTTTCGAAAATGTTGCTATTTTGACCGTAGATGTCACTTTATTATCTTTCGACTCGAGTCAAAAGTCAGTCGACCAATCAGAGGCCGAATAGATTGGCTTCACTTTCAGGTCCATCATTATTTTAAGTGAGGATAAGCAAATACAGAGCTCCTGCTTACTGAACACTATGAAATTGTCAAATGACTTAGTTAGTCAATTTTCATTTCATCGAAGTAATCCAACAATTTTTTAAAAGCTGTACGTATTTCATAAATTTTTTATAAATTTATGAACGTTCCTGCATTAACGTAAAAGGACGTATTGCATTTATACTCCCAAATCTGTATCATACATATGCACGGAGCTATGAGCGAGCGAGATCTCAGAGTTTGTTTACAATCGACCGCCGCACTCGCACGGCCAAGATCACTGCGAGCGAAGCAAGCGCGCGTGACATAGGCAACGTTACTCGAAGCTACTGAGACGCAGCAATTGTCATGAGCGTCGGGCAGTAGCGCGCGGCGCGTGCTACACTTGTATTGCCGTAGCAGAAGCTAGCGAGCTTACTCTTAGAAATAAGAAAGGATCAACAGCACATCACAGCGCTTAAATGCCTCACTTACTGGAGAGTTCATGTATTCAGAAACAGCGCTCTTCACTCGGTCGCTCGCTTTTGGTTTTCAGATGACATTATTAATTCCTTGCAAATGATGCGCATTCTATTATATTTTATACAATCACTGGCATACCATTGGCAAAGTGCTTCCTTCTCATTATAAGTATTCAAGCTAATGAAGATTTAGCTGATGTTTAGAAGTCGAAAATTATTACGAACCACACAATTTCATTCGAGAATAAATTTTTTTATCATAATTTATTTATTACTGAAAATATTACATTTTTGGCGATGAAAAAAAAAAATTTTAAAGAACGCAATAAGTTTTTAATATTTTTTGACGTTTCTTACGACACACCAAACCTTTGCAACAATACTTTTTAAATAATTTATCACAGGCCAAAATCGAAGATGATCTTCAAAGTTTTTAAAATATTTTCAATTTTACCGAGCGCCAAGGCTCTCAATTCTCGCGCGTGGCCGTACATGTCCGCACTCATTTCACTCAAACTTTTTTCCTATTTAATCGCGAAGGTTGCTATTTGCACATGATAGTGTTTAAGACAATACCTTTCGAATAAGCCGTCACAGGCCAAAATCGAAGATAATCTTCGAAGTTTCTAAAATATTTTCAATTTTACCGAGCGCCAAGGCTCTCAATTCTCGCGCGTGGCCGTACATGTCCGTACTAATATTGCTCTAATTTTTTTCCTAATTAATCGCGAAGGTTGCCATTTACACATGATAGTGTTTAAGACAATACCTTTCGAATAAGCCATCACAGGCCAAAATCGAAGATGATCTTCTAAGTTTTTAAAACATGTTTAATTTTCCCGAGCGTTGGTGCTCTCAATTCTCGCCCGTGTCCGCACTTATTTCGCTGTAACCTTTTTCCTAATTAATCGCGAGGGTTGCCATTTACATGTGATAGTGTTTAAGACAATACCTTTCGAATAAGCCGTCACAGGCCAAAATCGAAGATGATGTTCGATGTTTTTTGTAAGGTAGCGAAGATAGCCCGATAATGTTGATATAGGTTTTGGAAGCCAAAACCTTTTTTAAGACTATTATTGGGCTTTTTCGATATGTCATGATTTCCATTGTCAAATTGGCCGCTGTGAAACACATTGCACATATTTGTATCGTGAAATTAGTTATTTTAACAAATTTGAGATTTTGAAATTTTCGATTAAGCGCATCAATGTGTTCTTGATACACATGAACCTCTGCTTCTTCTGGCTCTGAGGACCCATCAAATGAACGCCAATCCACAGCCGGTGCCGTGAGCTAATTTGGCCCTGCCCACCAAAGCGTGAACCCAGCCAACTGCGAAGGCGTGAGTCCTCGTGTGGCGCAGTCTGCCGCATTATGAGCCGATCGTACATGATGCCATACAGCGTTCGGGTACGACGAGTTAATGAAACTGACTCTGTTGGCCACGAAAGTTTGCCAACGCGATGGATGTCCGTCCAACCAATCGAGCATAACTTTTGAATCGCACCAAAAATGCACCTGTTCTGGCTGCGTTTCGACGTTGCTCAAAATCTGCTTCGTCAGCTTGACCAGTAGTTCAGCTCCACAAAGCTCGAGTTAAGGCAATGTTTCCAGCTTCGCAGGTGCGATTTTAGTCTTCGTCATAATCAGTCGCGAAGTGCAGCCTGGGATCACCATGAAGACCGCGGCCGCATAAGCTCTCTTCGATGCGTCTAAGAAGCCGTGCAGAATCCAGGTGCTTTGTTCGCTTTTACCGAACCATCTTGGAACTCTGATTTGTTCAACATCGCTCAGCGATACGCGAAAGCTCCGCCAGCGACTTAAAAGCTCTCCCTCAAGCGGAGTATCCCAGTCGACTTTCTCGATCCATAGATCCTGCAGCAGAATCTTCGCTGTGACGATGACTGGTGCTAGCCATCCCAATGGATTGAACAGCTTCGCCACGTCCGACAAGATGTCTCTTTTCGTTACAATAGAAGCCATTAGTGGCAATGACGGAACGAACAAAAACTCTTCCGTTTTTGGGCTCCACTTAAGGCCGAGAGTCGAAATAACATCGTCGATTTTAACTGAGACGTCAGCATCATTCCCTGCATTCAATCCCAGCAGAAGAGCTTGGTCATTAGCCGACCACTTTCCAAGCTGTATACATGCCTAATCCATCAATCCAATCAGTTGATCTCTCCACTTGATTGCCTCAACAACGTCGTCTGCTCCGCCAAAAAGGTCATCAACATAGACTCGATAATCCAGCAAACGTGAGGCCTCAGGGTACCGCTCTCGTCCATCATTCGCAAGCTGTTGCAACATTTGCAGAGACAAAAACGGAGCAGGCGCCATCCCATAGGTAACGGTAGGCGCTCTGTAATCCCTGATAGCCTGCGTGCTGTCTGAGCGCCAGAGTATACGATGCCAGTCGGCGTCGTCTGGGTGAACCAAAATTTGTCGAAACATCTTTACAATATCTGTAACAAAGACGTACTTGAACTGTCTCCAGCGCGATATAACTACCGTTATATCTTTTTGTAATTTCGGCCCTGGTAACAGTGAGTCGTTGAGGTAGACTCGGTTCGCCGCCCTCTGCGAAGCGTTGAACATGACACGAATCTTGTCCTGGTTTCCTGCTCTGAAGACTCCGTGATGTGGCAAATAAAAGCTCTCCCGTGACAGCTGTGAGTCCGGCACGAGTTCTAAGTGTTTCAAATCGATGTACTCATCCATGAAGTTTTTGTATAACATTGAAAGTCGCGGGCTCTTTTCTAATCGTCTCTCCATTCGGTGCAGGCAGGATACGGCGACGTCTCGCGAGCCCTCGAATGATACCTTCTTCGCGAATGGCAAGTGTACGACGTACCTACCGTCGGCATTTCTCGTGGTAGTTTCCGTGAAGTAGTCCTCGCAATATTGCTCTTCGTCTGTTAAATACTTCGTGGGCTGCAAATCCTCCAGCTGCCAAAATTTCTCGACCAGACCGCGCAAGTCTTCTCCAGCACACACATGAAACGCGGAAACTGCCGCTGGTGAATCGTCTGACTTCGGTGTGATTTCTCCGGTCAATATCAAACCAAATACTGTCTGTTGACCAAGTGGACTTCCAATTGATCTTTTTCGCAGTCCTTCGAGCATTATGAATGGTATCAGTTCAGCACCGATAACGAATTCCACTTTGTCGGGTTTGTAATACGTAGGATCCGCGAACACCATTCCTCTCAAATGCGGCCAATTATTCTCGAGCAGTCTCGCCATCGGCAAGAGTCCCGTCAGCTCTCTCATGACGAATGGTTTTGCTCTCACGCTGAAGTTCGCGTCGATTCTTGATCTTAAAAATAATTGAGTCTGCTTTCGGACTGTTCAGTCGAAGTAACACGTCGCCGAGCCATCCTCGCCAGCATCAGCGTCCTGTCGAGCCGAGCTCCCTCCATCTTCGATGCTCGCTGAGTTTCTGTGAGCTTGCGAGTCGGCATGAAGCTTCGTATGATGCCGCCCTTGACACACCAAACATCTTCCTTCGAGCGACAATCTCCTGCGTAATGTGAACCTCACAGACAGTTCAAACATAGCTTCTCCTTTTTGCAAAGTTCGAATCTCTGCGGCTGTGACAGCACCGCGAACTTATGGCAGGAGTAAAGGGCGTGGCTTCCGCGGCAAAGCACACATGCGCGCGCACCTGGCTTGCCTGCTGCCTGCGCCCTGGTAGTGTGTATAGCTATCTGCTTATTATGCCGATTTGGCGCGCTTTTCGGGAACTTATTGTTTACATTTGAATTATAACTGCCACTACCTGATGATGTTGTTGATGCAGCTTCCGAAACTCGAATAGATCGCTCGAGAAATTCGGCGAGCTGCGCGTATTTTGGAAATCCGTCGGTTTCGTCTACTTGGCGTTCCCAATTAAGTCTGGTGGCCTGATCCAATTTATTCACCGTATGATGAATGAGCCACAGTTCTCCCGTGTGCTCCGGGTCAATTTTTAAATTGTCTAACGCCTGCTTGGACTCGCGTATGACGTCCAGCACTCGACGGAGCTCTTCTATAGATTTCTTCTGCATCGCGGGGCACGATATGACGTGTGACATGTGTGTCACTAGCAAAACCTTCTTGTTACCGTACCTGTCAAAGATGGCCTGCCACACACCGTCGTAGTTATCCGCCATGATCTGGACATTCTTCAATCTGTTCGCTGCTTCACCAGTAAGAGAGCGAATTAAATATTGATGAGTTAAGATTGGTGGGAGGCTTGGCACGTCGTGGACCAAGACGATGAACATTCCTTTGAATGTTTCCCACTCGAGCTGATCACCGGAGAACTGCGGCAGGTCTATGGTCGGGAGAGGTGCCTTGTAGCGCGTTGTATCAATTCTGATGTACCGGTACTGGGCATCAGTCTGCAGCGACGTCTGAGAGCGTCCCGGGCTCAAGGCATCCATGATGTTGGTCTTCACCAGACAATATTGCATGTATACTTCGCTGTAAACGTCCTCCTTGAAGTACGGATCCTCAGCCAATTCCACCTTAACTTTACGGATATTCCTGTGTCCCTTCTGAAATTCATCCCATTGCCTCTCGAGCTGCTCCAACTGTGTCTTAAACCAACTGATGGTCCTACGATATTTCGGGGTTTTTAACATAGTTTGCCTAAAGTTCTTCAAGAGATCACCCTGGACCTGCTGATTTGCGAGTACTTCTTCCATTTTGTTCCGATAGTTCGAGTGCGCAAAACGACTGTTAAATCCAAGATCAAAATCACCCGACTAGGAAAGCAACCACACTCTGCTACCAATGAAATTTCTGAAGAGAGTACCTCTTCTTTTTGGCTAATTTTTGCCGCCGGATCGATTTGATTGCGAGGTACAGGAGTCCCTCGTTATACGCGGATTTATTATCCGCGAAATTCGTTTTCTGCGGTTAGTCGATTTGCGCCCGTCCCTTCGTATGCGTGGGTCGAGTTTTGTTATCCGCGGATCGAAGATCGTGATTTTTTTCTCGGACGTATCTATATTCAGTTTAAATTTGGTTAGTGTAGACGCATAAATCGAATTTGTCAATTAACCTAAATTTGTTGAAAATTTATAAATTTATTTAAGTATGGTTTTCTCTAAAACTCCGTCGAAAACTGCCTCAAAAACCACCGGCAGATCAGACTGATGATGCACCTACACCGATTTTAGATTCAAAACTGATTGTCGAAGTTATGGATCTAGTTATTCGAGCAGGTGAATTAGCAAAGATTCATGATCCAATAATGACGCGTATCTCGACTTTCGAACACTACTGTGATTTAGCTGCACAAATTTATGAAGAAATGCACAAAGATATTTTGAGACAAGCAAAGCAGAAAAAATTAACCACTTACTTTAAATATATATGTGTTGTAAATGTAAATAAACATATATGAATAGATAAACTACTCAACAAATACGCTTATCTGTAGGTAAAATGCACATATAAACTGTGCTTTCTCGAGGTTGAGGAACGTAACCCTCTCTTTCCCATAAGAGTAAGGTCTTATTATCCGCGGTTTTGTTATACGCGGAACTTTTGAGGAACGTAACCCCCGCGTATAACGAGGGACTCCTGTACTTCAGCGGAAGTGCCCATCTTGGCTTTACGCGGCTCGTAGAGCCAATCAAATCGAAACCAATGTCCACGGCAACGATGTATATTTTTTCAAAAAGTTAGCTTAAGTTAATACTTATAAACTAATCACTGTTACGATGATCAGTTGTTAAAGCGAGCGAACGGTGGTGTTACTTTGGCCTTGGATGTTTTGCGGTCCTGAAAAGGACCGTTTATTTCTTTGATCGGGCTGTTACTTTTGTCCAGCCTTCTTTAGTTTCTGCGCGATTGACCTCTTGTGATTCCGCTGCTGACGTTGGATAGCGCGTGCCGTCCGCCTTTCTTTTGCTGGCTGACTTGTTGCGGGTTGGTCAGGCGCGGGATGTGTAGTTGGCACTTGTGGCGAGGTGATACCGGTGGTCCTAGGTGAACGAGAGCTGATGGACGTTGAGATGGCGGATCCTTCGATGCTGGCAAGAAGGCTAGCCCGAAATGGCCCTTGGCTGGAACTTCGGGTGACCTCGATGGCGTCCAGATGCGTGGCCGAGGACGGGGAGAAGCAGATGGCTCCAGCCGGAGTTTAACTGTTCGGTGTAGGTGAAACGGGATCGGCGGATTCTCTCGAAGGTACGGTGATAGCGAGCAGCCTCGAGGTTGGCGGGCTATTGGCTGCCTTAAACCTGGCGACTCGGCTCGAGGAGCGCGTGCTGGTGGCACGGAGAGTTCGGGCCGAGTTGGATGCCGGAGACAAGCCTGGCCCTCGTTGTTGCGACGATTAAGTCCGCTGCCCAGCGGGATGATAACTATCGAACGTAGGCGCTCAGGAGGCGAGCATTCGACAGTTGGTCTCTCCACGTGGAAACGGAGATATCTCTTGTCGTCGCTAGCAGTTTCCGAGTCGAAATTGAGACGGAGGTCCTGAGAAGGACCGTTGCTAGGTGGTGCGTTCGAGTGATCCACGATGGCAGAGTGTTAAACAGTCGGAAAGTCCAGGCGTGTTCTTCGCTCGGAAGTGAGATCGAGAGTGAGCTGGGCTCATCATCTTGCCGTCTTATATACTCGTTTGCCCTAGGGGTGGGGGGAGAACGATAAGATGGCAGACGTTGGGCTCTGCAAAAGTCGTAGACCTTTGAACGATGGCCCTGAAAAAACCAGGAGCCAAATGAGTTTCAGAGTTTATGTTCTGTAACTCGAGAAGTAGTTAGCATCGGATTTTAATAAAAGTCCAATGTCTTTCGAACGGTAGCCACGAAACGCTAGTGGCCAAGAGTTTTTAGAGTTTATAACTCTAAAACTCGAGAAGCCGGTTTACCTTAGACTTTATCAAAGGTCTGATGGCTTTCGAACAGTTGCCTCGAAAGGCTAGTGGCCAAAAGAGTTTTAGAGTTTATAACTCTAAAACTCGAGAAGCCGGTTCGCATCAGACTTTATCAAAAGTCTGATGACTTTCGAACAGTTGCCTCGAAAGGCTAGTGGCCAAAGAGTTTTAGAATTTATAACTCCAAAACTCAAAAGTCAGCTGGCGATTGAACTTATGAAAGTTCGATGAAATTCGAACAGCGGTCCTGAAAAGGGCCAGAAACTGACTAGAGTTTTAGAGTTTGCACTTTAGAACTCGATAAGTCGGTTGGTGTTGGATTTTTGCAAAGTTCAACAACCTTTCGAACGGTGGCCCTGAAAAGGTTCCCTAGTGCCGCAAAGAGCTGTAGAGTTTTAACTCTACAGCTGACTGAACAGTGCGCGTCGACCTTGACTAGAAGATCGACGCCCTACGTTTGTGGTCCTGAAAAGGACCGAGATTGATGGCACGTTTCAGAGTTCCTACTCTGTCCTTGGAGATTGATGTGGCAGTTGAATTCCAAGTTCGATATGGTCCGTGGTCAGCTTCGCAGTCCCAGCAAGGTCGATTGATCCGGGTTTGCGCCGCTGCTTAGTGTGCCGGAAGGTCCAGGCAACACTTACTGATCGATCGGAATCGAGTTGATCGAGGCTTGAAGTGCCCGATACTTAAGCGCTGTCGGGCACACGTCGCTTGAGGGTGCCGGCTCGGCGCCACCTAGCGGCCACTGTTGAAGCTACGAATGGCCGAAATGGATGAGAAGGCGGTAAAGGGAGTGAGAAAAGAAAAGTCGTTGTTTTTGCTGAGAGACAAAGTTAAATTCGTTTATTGTGAATTCGTCCCTATCCAGCCAACAACTTTGTTACCAACAGCCAACAACTCGAACGCGTTGAGTTACAAAGACTCTGAAAGCCAGAGAGTTGTGCAAACTCCGGATGGGCAAGGAGTTGTGCTCAGCTCAAGAGCTCGCGAGCGAATGCCCGCAGCGGCCTAGTGCGCCGGCTTATATAGCGCGGCGCGGACGGCGCGCGACGCAGTGGCAGCTCCCACCACCGCCGCCGGCAGTTCGCTTTAGTTTGGGAAACGGCGCCGATCACAGTGAGTCTGAGAAACGGCGCCGGTCCGCAAAGCTCGGCGTGACTTGCAGTGCGCATCTAAAATACGCGTTTGGCGTATATCACAATGCCTGGAGCACGTATGTTTGCGTTTTAATCAATGATTTTTAAAAAACTTTATTAAGGTAGTTTAACTACCATCTTCTTTAGTAACCTCGCATTTAAGCGAATTTATATTTTTATTTCTAATAAATAATGATTATACTTATTTTTTGATTTTAAATAATAAGCTATGAAGCCTTTTTGTAAAACCAAAGGTGTAT